CTAAATTCCATAATAAATCTCACTGATGTGTTTATGTTGTCTTTGCTTTCATCTTGTATTGTATCACAGTAGTGTTTGATACAATGTAAAACATTAAAACCACATTGCAAAAGTTTTCCAATATGTATTTACGAAACAATAATTCTACTTTCTGTTAACTTTTCTTTTAGATAATGTTGGACTCCAGGCCAACATACTATTCAGTTCTAGTCACTTCTTGAGGACTTCTTCGAGAATACTATTTTGGAGAATACTAAATGCTGTAAGACAGTCGTGTTTCTTTTCTCGATTCTAGAACCATACCAGTACATTTTGAATCAAGAAGTTTATTTTCTTGTTCATTTTGCTAGGTGTTCTTAATAGGAAAATAGTACTGTTGGTGGATAACTGTGCTCCACTTGAAAAAGAATTGGGAAGACATTATCAGTCAGTTGTTTCAGTGAAGTATGTTCAAGATCAGACAAACCTTGATGAAAATGTGGGGACAAGCAGGAGAGACTAGCAGCTACTTCTTCCTTCAGGGGTTTCTATCCATCTCCTGCCCTCATCTCCTGCCCAGGCTGCACTGAAATAAAAACATGGAGGGGCAACTGTGCACCCGGCCTTCTGCATCTCAAAGGTAAAGCTCTGTAGACAAACCAAAATTGTTCTTATTTGCAGTCTCTCCAAATTATTTTGTACTGAATTTTGCCCCATTTTCTTTAGAGTTATTCTTAGAGACATAATATATTCTTATTAATTTTGGCTTTATAAGCTTTTCTGAACTTGGCTTTTCTGATATTTGAAAAACATACCCTCCTAACTAAATGTAAGAGATTTGTGGATTGTTTACAATGAGCTGAATTTCAGATGGTTTAAAACAAGATAATCAACAGAGTCTTACTGCTGTAGACTTCTGTCTCACCAAGGGTCTATCAAGGCCTTCTTTCCCTTTTATTTGCTAAAATAAAATGGTTTGGGGAGAGTTGACACGCTAATGGGCGGTAATGTATGCTAAACACAAAGAGGGCAAGGATCACACACAATTTCTTCAAAGCTCAAATAAACTCGGCAATAAAGGTTGTTGATATGAACTACAATGAATATGTAAATATTAAGTTTATTAAGTTTTGATTGAAAAAATCAGGATATAAAATCATCATTTCAGTGGGAAGATAAAGTAGGCTACTGACTGAGATGATGTTGTCTCTGGACTTTGCTGGATGATTACCGCAGGAGATCTTATGTTCCTATGTTCTTAAAAAATGCACAGGAGCGAAATTTCCATATCTAATAGTCATAGAGGAGGTACATAATGTTCTACCTAGATGGAGACTGCTGAATATAACCGTTAGACCAGGCACTGAGGTATCAGTGAGTACAACAGTGTCCCTGGGAGGTTATGGGCATTTTTATCATGATCATACTAGAAGCATCGGAGATTAGACAGACACATAATTCAGGACTCTGAGTAGGGGCAAGTTATCTCTATATCCAGTGTACATAGTTTACATTCCTAGAGCTAACTCAGAGATTATGTAGCTGCTTAATGACTCTTCCCCATGATATTAAAATACTGTATTTGTCTTAAACTAGATGTAATAGTGCATCTTGCTTCTCTTGAGGTGCCCTTAGCTTCCTCGCTTTTCTTGGTTTCTCTTCCTTCTCTAAGTCTCTGTGTCTTTCTCTTTATCCTCATCTATTTCCTCTCTTTGCAGTCACCACTCACTTGATTTGGTTCATGAATCGTGCCCTTGAGAAATTGTATGGAGATGCTGTTTGTGTCCATGCTTCCTGTGTTAGCTCAGTCGCTCTCGCTCACCACACGTGCTTCGTGTTAAAGGAGGACAGCCTCATTGCACAGGTGCAGCGGGACCTCGCTAATGTTATATAAGATAAATTATGAAACGAGATATCCAAAGGGAAAAGTGTTTCTTAAAACGGGGAAAGCTGAGAGTCACAGAAGGGTGCTAGTGGAAGGAATAGGACTGAGACACTGCTGAACTTGATGTTTTGCTTAATACCTGTGATGACGGTTCATGGTTGTCAGCTTGACTATATCAGGAATTAACCAAAACCCAAGCAGCCAGATACACCTGTAAGAGATTATGTTTTCTCAACTCAATCATTTGAAGAGGAAAGACCCATTTTTAATCCCAGTCTTTTGAGGTGGGAAGCTCCATGTTTAATATGAGCCTTTTCTGCTGGCAATTTATATAAAGGATATGAGAGAAGGAAATTTACTTTCTTTGCCTGCTTGCTTCCACTGCCAAGCCCCTTCCTTCACTGGCAGCAGAGCCTGCTTTTCCAGGATCCTGGCATACACTGAAGACCAGCTGAGACATGCAGCCTCGTGGACTGAACAACTACTGGATTCTTGGACTATCCCTTAGTAGACAGCCATAGTTGGACTAGATGTACCACAACCTACAAATCATTCAAATATATATATATATATATATATATATATATATATATATACATATATATGTGTGTGTGTGTGTGTGTGTGTGTGTGTGTTTACATCTGTATGTACTTATGTTGTAAGCTCTGTTTCTCTAGAGAACCTTTGACTCAGAACATCTTTTTGAATAGCTGAGACGCAGCATAATGAACAAGAGTACTTGCTGCTTTTGGATAGGGACTGGGTTTTGTTCCCAGCACCCACACTTGGCAGCTCATAACTGCCTGTAACAGGGGATCTGATGCCTTCTTTGGCTTCCATCAGCAGCTATATGTATGTACTACACATACATACACTCAGGGGCACATACACACACACACACACACAAATTAAATCTTTCAAAATCCATAAATTAGTATAAAAAACAAACCCAACAATTTGGCAATGGGCTGGAATGATGATTCAGCAGTCAAGAGCTCATACTACTTTTTCAGAGAATATGAATTTTGTTCCCAGTATCCATAAATAGTGAGTCACAGTTGCTGGTCACTCCAGCTCTAGGGTGCCTTCTGGACTCTCCGGTTTCTGTATTCACATAGACAAACAGATAACACACATACAAGTGTATACACACACACACACACACACACACCCCTCACTTGTGTGCCTAATTCCCTTGGAGGTCAAAAAAGGCATCAGATACTCTGGAACTGGAGTTACAGATGGTTGTGAGCTGCCATGTGCATGCTGGAAATCAAACCCAGGTCTTCTGGAAGAGCAATCAAAGCTCTTAACTACTGAGCTATTTCTCCAGTTTCCAGTTTGTGTTTTCTAAAATTTTATATGAATGAGACCACAAAGCTTCAGAATGCCTGTTCTAAGCATACAGAAGTTCAGTGAGGTGTATAGAGTTTGAGTCTGATTACTCTTACTGTATAATGCTTTCTATTGCAATGACATGATGAATTTTCATTTAATTAAAAACTTTCTCTTTTTAAAAGTTGTTTGTAATTTCCAGTCATTTAGGAATTTTCCAAAGATATTTTTTTGTGAATTTCCATGTACTCAAATCTATAGAAAATTGAAAACAAATTAGGCTGTGATTTAATATGGTCTTTGGTGGTAAATGATTCATACACACTTGAAAAAAAAAGTTCTTGTCAGTTGGCATGTTCTATGAATGCCCGTTAAGTCAAGTTGATGGTATTATTTAAATAGTCTATACTTTCCAAATTCTCATTTGCATGTTCTATTGCTATATTAAACACGGAGGAGATGATGTTGAAATCACTTGCTGCAATTAATATTTTATCTTTCATATCTATCACATTTATGCTTTGCACATTTTGAATTTTGATCATAAAGTGCTTAAATATTTAGGATTATTATAAATTCTGATGAGTATACCCTTTTGTCTTTATTATTGAAAAATAATATCACTGGCAACATTTTTTGTTCTGAAATTTGCCTTTTGCCACAGGAATAAGCACTTCAGATTTCTTTTGATTATTTCAACATAGCACATCTTTTTCAATCCTTCCCCTTTAAATTTTTTTCTATATATGTGTAGTGCTTTCTGGATGAACAGGCATAGTTTGGACTTTCCTTAATTTGATAATCTTGCTTTTGATTTGAAATAATTGGATCATTTATAGTTAATGTGTTTCTCAGCATGCTTATGTTTAAGTATATTTTCCTATTTATTATGTATTTCTTTTTATCTGTTTTATGTTTTAGGATCAATTGAGTATTTTGTATTTCTAACATAGATATTTAAATAATAAAGTTTTTCTTTTACTTTATGGTTTATAGTATGCATTTCAAAGTATAATTTAAATTATCATATTACATAACATGTTATAATGAGTTTAAAATTTACACTTGCATTTGTTCTTTTGTGTCCTTCATATTCTTCTTAGAGTTAGACATGATTTAATATTGTTTCAATAATCTTCCTCTTGAAAATAATATTTATTCAGGGCTGTGGAGACTCATGCCTTTAATCACAGCACTCGGGAGGCAGAGACAGGTGGATTTCTATGAGTTTGAAGCTAGCCTGCTCTACAGAGTGAGTCTCAGGATTGGTTCCAAAACCACAGAGAAACCCTGCCTCAAAACACTGCCCCTCTCAAAAAAAAGAAGAGAAAAGAAAATAATGTTTACTACAATAATTTGCAGCCTTTATTCTTTTTTATCTTAGATCTAAAATAGTTAATAAAAAGTACAATTCATAAGAAATAATATTGAAATCATATTGTTCGGTCAATATAAATTATATATTCTACTTTTAAAATTTGAATGCTAGGATGTAACACATAATGCTTGAGGTTCAGTACTACCATTTTAGGAAACATTTTTTTGGTAAATAATATGCATACATGTTTCCCTACATGCCTATTTAAACAAAATGAATTGAGTCTGTCTTGGTTAAGACAGCCTTCTTCTGACCTACTGGTTGCCATGTGCTCTGAATTTACAAATGACCTTCTCTACCTGATATAGAGGTAAATGTTGCATGCCAAATAAAATACCAAAATTGGAAAGGAAAACCGTAAAGTACTCCCCCCATCCTGAAAATCTTAACAATTGATGTTAAAAACACAAGAGATTTTTCATATTGTTTTTATAATGTGATCTCTTTATTTAAAGCCTTTATTTTAAGGCATATTTGTAGGGGCCTCATCAATTCTGTAGCAAGTGGCTTATAAATAAAAAATAAACCTATGATAGTGACCTTGACCTCACATTAAAAGGCAAAATTCATTCTATAAAAAGCTGTCACTTCTTAAGAATCTGTGGTTGAAATTACTCTTGTAAAGTTGCGACATATCTTGCTCCGATTAATAATGTCATGCTGCTCACTATGAAAAAACCCAAGGGCAGACAGGAAAAGACAGCATTGTCGCCATTCTCGGGAGCGCTGGGGGTAACCCAACCCATTGACTTCATCACCGCTCTCTTCCATGTTGCATAACGAATTTCACTCTCTGTGGCTTGGATTTGGGGTTCATACTGTTCCATCAAGACTGTCGACATATCCTCCGGTTCAAGACTCCAAACGTCTACCCCTTCTGCAGCTCCAGCTGCCATAGCTACTCCCAGGGCAGTCGTTTCAGGCATAAAGGACTTAATTACAGGAATGTGCAGAATGTCTGCCTGGAGCTGCATAAGGATTTTGTTGTTGGTCATTCCTCCATCTACCTGCAAGTGACTGAGTGGAATTCCGCAGTCACGGTTCATGGCATCCACAATCTCTCGGGTTTGGAAACAAACCGCTTCCAATGCAGCAAAGGCAATATGGCATTTATTGGTATACTGAGTGAGACCACAGATGATCCCTCTTGCACTGGGTTCCCAGTAAGGTGCATATAACCCGGAAAAGGCTGGGACGAAGTAGCATCCATAAGAAGATCCCACCTCTTTTGCAAGTTTTTCAATTTCTTCTGAGGTCGTTATAATTTCAAAATTGTCTCTTAGCCAGCGAATAACAGCACCAGCTATTGCGACAGAACCTTCTAATGCATAAATTGCTGGCTTTTTTTTGCCTAGTTTGTAAGCTACAGTGGTGAGAAGGCCATGTTCAGAAAACACACGTTTATGGCCTGTATTACATAGTAAGAAACATCCTGTTCCATAGGTGTTTTTGGCTTGACCTTCTTGGAAGCACATTTGCCCTACCAACGCCGCATTTTGGTCCCCCAAACATCCAGATATTGGCACACCTTCCAAGGCCCCTGATGTCATCAGACCATAGATCTCAGAAGAACTGCATGTATTTGGGAGAATGTTCATGGGAATTTCAAAAAAGTCGCAGAGTTCCTTATCCCATTCCAAAGAGTGGATGTTGAAAAGCATCGTTCTGCTAGCATTTGTGACATCTGTGCAATGGATGCCTCCATTGACTCCTCCCGTCATATTCCAGATGAGCCAGGAGTCGATTGTTCCGAACAGGGCTCTGCCTTCCTCCACAGCCTTTTGAATGGGTCTTAGGTTATCCAGCATCCACCGCAGTTTCACGGCGCTGAAGTAAGTGCTCAGTGGAAGGCCTGTCTTAGACTTGACGAAGTTGCTGTTTCCTGGGATTTTCTTACTGAGAGACTCCACAGTAGTCTGGGTTCTGAGATCAAGCCAAACCACAGCATTGTAGAGCGGGTCTCCCGTGAACTTGTCCCAGACCACCGTGGTTTCTCGCTGGTTGCTCACGCCGACACTTTTAATGTTGGAAATATCAATGTTCACACTAGCAAGTTTCTCGCACGTTCTCGCTATGCATTCATAGACAGACTGAAGGATTTCCTTGGGGTCTTGCTCCACCCATCCCTCTTTTGGAAACTCTTGAGTCAGTTCCACGTGATGATGGCTAAGTAGTTCGGCTGTTTTAGAATCAAAAACTAGAAAGCGAGTGGAGTTGGTGCCCTGAACCACCGCTCCCACCAAAGGCCCCACCGCTGTTTGCTGCGAGGCTGCCATGAGTCAGTGGAGTCTGTAGCTCAGGAACCGTTGCCCTGGTGAGGCCGGTTTGGAGGAGACACAGCAGCCAATCAGGGATGCTCGAGTGCGCAGGTGCAGCTGCCAGTCTAACAGCTTCCCCTAACCTATTCACCCCGCCCCTCGCCCAAGCCCCGCCCCTCGCGTCTCCAGGTCATGTCCAGGGCTTTATATGAAAATATTCACTAAGCGCTTCACTCTTGCATATGTGGTTCTTTATTTCTGATCTCTCTCTCCCTTTCTACCTGTGAACTATCCATAACATTTCTTATAGAACAAATATGTGGGACACAGAGTCTTCCAACATCAGAACATGTGAAAAGCATTTTGTCTTACTAGTGAAAGCCAATTCGTTTTGGGTATAGAATTCTAATTTTCTTTCTCAAGCCTTCCTTTTAAGAACCATGGAGTGGAGCAGCTACTCCAATAACGTCACTTCCCATTCCAGGTATGTTTCTGTCCTTCTTGGTCTTAGCTTGCTTTGTTTTTCTCTGACTTCTTATAGAGTTTTTGTTGTTGCCATTTGTTTTGGTGTTTTTTTTTTTATTCCTAAACAAGCATTTTCCATCAGTTTTATCGTGATGTGCATTGCGGGGGTTTCTGTTTGCTTTTGTTTTCTCTCCTTTCTGTGCTGGGCGTTCACTGTGTCACTTATGAGAAGATTCACAGCCTCCATCAAGTTTGGAAAATTCTGGCTGGTATTTCCTCAAATATTTTCTTTGCTTTGTTTACTCTCTTAAGGTCTCAAACCTCACATGTTGAATCTGTCTTGCAAGTTCACTGGCGTTCTGACTCGTTACAAAGATCTTTTCTGTCTGTATTTAAACTTACAGTTTATAATTGTTCTGCCTTCAAGTCCACTAACCTCCGGTTTAGGTCTGCAATTAATTCATGTGCTGCATTTTTCCACTTCACACGTAGTTTTCATTCCTACTTAGGGATTTTTAGATGTCTACTGAACTTTTCTTTGATGTGTGGGACATGGTTAGAATAGCTTTTAAACTTCATTTTCTGCTAAAACCTGTTCGATTTTATTTTGTTGATTGTCTTATCATGGCTTGTATTTGCATGCTTCTTTGCATGTCTGATAACTTGTAATTAAATGCCAGGCACAGTAGTGTTGCTAACCTGGCTGCTGGATACATTGCCCCCTTTTTGTCAGAACACAGTCTGTTCTGAGAAGTCAGGAAGTCACCTGGAAACAGCTGCTCATTTCCAGCTTTCTTCTTCTTTTTTTTTTTTTTTAAATATTCTTTGGTAGTTTCGTATGTAAAACAACATGCTTAGATCATACCTTTCTTTCGCTTGTTCCACTCCAACTCTTCCCCAGTCACACCACCCCTTTCCAGAGTTCATGCCTCCTTTTAATGACCCTTTTGAGTCTAATTAATCCTGCCTGCATGTGGGTGACTGTTGCGTCACCCACTGCACTATGAACAACTTCTTTCAAGCCATCCTCCTAAAGCAAGCTCATCCTTTCTCTCCCCATAACCGTCAGCTGTCAGGTTCTCCTCAGCTAGGAGTGGCACCTCAGGAGCCCCTCTCTACCACTCACTTCGGTCTCCGGATGTGAAGAAACCAAGGTGGAAATGACCTGAAAGTTTTCTCCCTGCTTCTTACCTTTCCTTAAATGGTACTAAATAGGTCACTGGGGGCTAAAACTATCAACAGCCTTAACCCAGCAGACAACTTAACACGCTAAAATAGTGACAGAGAGGAAGATAGGAACATTGGTGCAACAGTGCAATACACATTACGGGGCCAAGCAACAGCTCTCAAATGGGATTTTAAGACCCACTCCAGAGGTTGTAGCTCGTGTCTAGAACTGTAAACCTGACCAGGAAGCCATGACTCAGGTCATAGACTCAAGGAAGAACCCACTGCTATTATTTTTGCTAAATGGACGTAGTATCCGTCTCCCCTCTGAATTCATCTCTCTCGGGTGCAGGTCTCATGGCTCATAAGAGGTGCTTTTTTTGGCTGTGGACACTGACTAATACAGAGATTTAAAATTGGTCTAAGCACAGAGAACAAGTGATCAATGGAGCGCTTCTCACAGCCTGTCTCTCTCAAGGCTCAAAAAACTCATGGAAGAGAAAGCAGAAAGCTGTCAAGAGCTGATACCCATGTTATGAAGGTTTAAACTCATCCATTCATTCACTAATTTAACAAATAAGTTTTAATAATACATGAGAGTTTTTTTAAACAAGAAATAAGATACAATAATATAGTCATACATAGAACATCACCCTTACTACGGCGTTTAAGTTAGAACCATACCATACTTGTCTTTAATGGCTTATATTCCAGTGCGTATCCTGTTTCAGAGATACATTTATTTAATGTTTCTTTTTCACTGTCAACTCCCCTACATTGTAAGTTTTATGAAGACATGAAACTGAGAATGTTACATTTAATCCTTTATTTACAGCCTGTCTCAAGTCCTATAAACTCCGAAAATTTGTTAAATAAATTAATGAACATCACTAGTTAAGGTCCTTGCTTAGTTAAGTAATTATGATGGAGTCAAAATAATTCATTTGTATTTATTGTTACATAATAATTTAGCATACACTATAAATTGTTTTATGCGATCAGTTATCCCCAAAAGGGTCATTTTGAAGTTTCACTTTGGGAGTCCTTAGAAATATATATTTGTTGGTTAACTACCTTAATTAGGTTTGTCAACAAAAGACAGAGGGAAGGAATTGTTTCAGAAAAAATTCCTTGTATGAAAGAAATCTCAACTTCTAGGACTTGGGAACTTCTGCAAGGAAAATGCTTGATTTGCCTCTCCATGTCTGAGCCTCAGGAGATGGTCTTGAGCTCCTGATGGCTCGGGTTCCTAATTTGAGAAGATTATTTAAATTTGTACACAAAGGTGTGAGAATAGAAATTAAATTTTTATGCACATCAAAATTATCTATAAACTGCAGAAGTATTAATAGCTCACCGTAAACACAGCAAGAGGTTAATAAAAGGAGAGCAGGTGGGTTTCACAAATATCCACTTCCATTAGGTGATCAGAGACAAGCTGAGACAGATGGCATCTAGGACAGTAGCCCGGCGATGAGATCAGGCTTGTTTAGTGTAGTTCGGCTGCAGACCAGTATCGTTTTAAAAGGGGTGTCTGAGCTCCACAAAGACTTTTGTGTTTTGTCATTATAGTCTTGCTTGTATTACACTGGATGGTCAATAACTTCTTGATTTTTCCCAATTAAGAATATCTTTCCAGCATAATTTTAAATGACAAACAACATTCTCATTCTTATCCAACTTTTGGCCAGGTTTGTCCGGTGAAATAAGCTGTTTTAAGATACCTTTTAAAATGCATTTACTAATTTTACTGCTCAGTTTGCACTTTTCCTATGGCTTAGGAGAGTTGCCCATTTAAAAGGTGGTAGAGTCAGAAACTCACTGCAAAGCATTTGAGGTGCTTTTAATTTTTGTTCCTCTTGTGTTCTGTTGTTTACTATGAAAACACGGACTATACACAGTCAATGAAAACATCTCCTCGTTGGGGAGTATCAGGATGGGTGAATGGTGTTGCTGGTAGCTTAGGACACCACAAAACAGTTCCAACTTAACACCTGGCCTCTCTGGAAAAACACTTGGCCTTTTATCTTCAATGAGTCCCATTATTCTCTGTTTTAAGTGGCTTGACAATCCTGACCCCCACAAGTCTGTATTGGACAAGTCATCTAAGGCTCTGTGTAGCTTTTGGACTCACCATCTTTCCTTAGTTGAGCCAAAAGTGGCACCTATGTGTAACAAGATGGTCTTCCGTGTGTAGCAACAGGCAGCTTGTTGGTTTCTGGCTGCTCAGATCTGAAATAATCACACAGACACTGTATTAATTAAATCACTGTTTGGCCCATTAGCTCTAGCTTCTTATTGGCTAACTCTTACATATTACTTTAACCCATTAATCTGTATATCACCACAAGGTCATGGCCTACCAGCAAAGTTTCAGCACCTCTATTTCCGACAGGAGCTCCATGGCATCTCTCTGACTCAGCCCTTTTTCCTCCCAGCATTCAGCCTAGCTTTTCCTGTCTACATAAGTTCTGCCTTGCTATAGGTTCAAAGCAGTTTTTTTTTATTCATTAATGATAATTACAGCACACAGAGGGGACTCCCACATCATTAGTAGATCTCAATATCAACTTATAATTGTTTGCTGGGCATCACAGAAACTGTGATGTAGTTGTAAGAGAGGTTGAAGGACAGTCACTAAGTCAGGTTGAAGAAGAGGAGCGTATCTATGGTCACTCTCTTCCTAAAGGCATCATAGAAGTGGGTAGTGACCAAACATGAAAGCCAAATAGCCATGTGTAACAAACCCACTGCCGTATAGAGACTGGTGTTCCCACTGCCCCTGCCATGTCTGTCATGTGTAACAAACCCACTGCCGTATAGAGACTGGTGTTCCCATTGCCCCTGCCATGTCTGTCATGCTTTGCTGAGGATCTCTACCTCTTGAGTAAAGATAATTTCAATTTTGCTTTCTGGATGAACTATTGGTTAAGAGTTTTGGAATCCAAGTATTAAGGCAGGTTGAATAATGACTAGGAGGAGAGTAGGTAGATGGGAAGATGTAAGGAATAGTAAGAAAATATTGGTTATAGGATCTACATGTTGCTTACAGTGGTGTGGTATTGAATTTTTTCAGTTTTTGTATGTTTGCTAATGTCCATAATAAGATGTTGGTGTGTTGTTGTTCTATCTCTATAACAAAATATCTGAGATAACTAACCTTCAAAGAGAAATGATTTTTTTGGCTAAGTTTTAGAATCCAGTCTATGATTGGATTCATTCAGTGCTTGTGCTCTTATAGGCACTCTGCAAAGCGATTGTGGCAGTGCATGGCACAGTGAACTGTTCCCCTCCGCCAAGAAAATGTTACTTCCCATTATCAGGTCACCAAATGATCTAAGCACCTCCCACCAGACTCTACCTCCTAAAGCTCTCCCTCTTCCCATTGGGGAAGTTTTTAACCCATGAACCTTTGAAGGACAATTAACCTCAATACGATAGCAGTTG